GAGCAGGTTCAGCCACCAGGTGGGGCTCTCGCCTCGGAACAGAGCCCCAGCCTACAGCCTCTGTGGCCTGGGATGCTATGCTCTTCCTGGCTGAGAGGCAGGAGGAGGTGGGTCTGCTCCAAAGTCTCCTTGGCTGTTGCTCTGCCGGCCCCTCAGTGAGTGAGCTCATTCCGGGGGCCTGGCTTGGGGATAGGCAGGTGGGGCTCAGAGTAAGGAAGTGGGGACTCCGGTTCTCAGTGGGCACAGCAGGGCCGGGCAGCTTCTGCCACTTTGCGATGCTGCACCAGCCGGCTCAGCTCTGGTCCCAGCCTGGCACCCGCTCTGCAGCCCAGATACTTCTAGACCTTGCACGGGCTGTGCCGCCTGCGTGGTCTGCTGGGGTTAACTGAAGTCTGAGTGCTTTCCCTTCCTTGGACCCGCCCGGGAGCTGCCTCCCTTCTGGGCACAGCTGCAGCAACTCCACTGCCTGGGTGCCGCTCTCACCAGGCGAGTCCTGGCAACCTCCTCCCTCAGGGGCCCTGTGGCTCCCTCTGGAACATGCTGGGGCTGCTGCTGCCCTCAGCTCCTCCGCTCTCCCCGTCTGGGCAGTGGCTGTGCACAGGGGCTCCCTGGCTGACCAAGCTCAATGACACCTGGGGCTTGATTCCCTTCCTGCTGCTTGGTGACTCGAGGCCTTGGACAGGTGCCTGCTTCCTTCCTGAACTTCTATAGCTCTCCTCTGGGGAGTCCTAGTAACAGTACCGCTCGCTCCCCTTTCTGCACTTCTAAAACCCAAAACAGCAGCTGAAAAGCTATTTTATCTTTCCTGAGTATGGGGCCGCCACTCCAGGGTCTCCGCACAGACGATGCACATGGGGCATGGTCTCCAACCTCAGGAGAGGACAAGCGTAGAAGACGTACGCTGTGCTGCGGGCTCTGGCTCAGGACCGTGCACAGCTAGTCCAGTGATGGCGAACCTTCTGCAGCCTTCAGCACTAACAGGCAGCTGGCTGTGGCTTGCAGGTTTGCCACCCCTGCTGAGTGCTTAATCAGTGCTGGTGGCTGTGACTGCCAGGTCCCCTGGACTCTGTCCCCACCGAGCTGTTGGTCACAGCCTGCTCCTCCTCCTTCCTCAGCCGGTGTGGAGGCGGGGTCGACTTTCTCCTTCCTCTCCATGCCTGGCTGCCACGCTGTGGCTGTATCTGGGCCCATCTGTGCCGTTGGACATGGGTGCTCAGGCACTCGGACTGGCTCCATTGAGATCACCAGCTGCCCCACTGGACTTGGTGCCTCCCTCCCAACCTGTGGTCGACGTGCAGGAGACAGAGCCCCACAGCTGCGGTGCTGGTGCCCGGGAGGCTGAGGTCCTGGGAACGGCGGCCTGAGTAACGGGAGGGAGATTTTGCTGCATGCCAGGGCTGCACAACTGCCCGAGTGTGTCAGGAGCACACGCACATGTGTCAGGTCCCGTGGTGGCCACGCACACACTCACACACATGGCTGTCATCCACAGTGGCGATTTAGTTAGTGACACGAAACATGAGCCCTGGGAAGTGTTAAGAAAAACAGCTCAGACACGCAGACAGCCCTTTCCAGACAGCCACATACTGAAGTGCAATTCTTACAACCTGCAGTTTCCAGAAGAGGACCTGTGCTGTGGCCAACACAGGAAAGTAAGGTGGGCAGGGGCCCTCTTCTGGCCGGTCGCCTTCAGGAAATCGCAAGCTGTATAAGAAAATATGGGTCCTGGGCCCCACTGATGAGCCCAGGCGGGGCCTTTGCCAGGTTTGGGGACACTTAGTGCCCTCACAAGCCCCCAGGACATTCTTGGTGCCAGCTGGGTCCGCAGCCACAGACCAAGCTCCTGCACCGTGGGCTCCCTGCACCTTCACAGCAGTACCAGCTGTGGGGCCTTCTCCCCACAGTTCCCGGGAAGCAGCTGGGAAGAGCTTTGCCGAGGCCTTCTGACAGCCCAGCCGAAACCCTGCATTGGATGTGACTGCTCAAGCATCTCTTGGAGAAGCGGGCACAGACCTCTGGTGGAGGTGGGGGTGCCATGCATGCCGAGAGCCTGCTGTACACTCCCTCGCACATTGGTGGCTTCTCCCGGTGCTGTGCTCAGTGGCCTAGCGGTGACCCCGCCGTGGCTGGGATGGACTTAAGTGTCTGTTTTGAGAAGCTGGTTCTTCTGTGGCCTCAGGAGATGGACGGGTGGGAAGGACTCAGTGACACAGGAGGTGTCTCCCCAGCAGCCAGGGACCACACAGATGGGAAAACGGCCGGAGGTGCTCAGCTCTGCTGTGTCACTGAGCTGGGCTGCGGCCCCCTGGACCCGGCACAGGTCTGGCCCCACACACACCTGGCCGGCTCTGTTCTTCACATTTTGAACAACTTGCTGTTTACATAAACACCAGGATGTAAGAGCACAGGAAACACAGCAACAAGCCAGGCCCAGGTCAACCACCACTGGCGTGGGATCCATGGGGGTGTAGGGTATGGGCCCCCAGGCCCTCTCAGGTAGGGCAGCCCACGCCCTGCTCAGCGCAGGCACAGGTCCATGGTTGGCATGGCCAGAGGGGCCTTGTTGTGTAGCCAAGGGACCCCACCTTGGCTGCTTGACAGTGACCACTGAGTCTGCATCAAGTCATGGTCAAAGGCTGGCTGGGCCCCTGTGACCCTCGTCAGTTCCAGTCCCAATTCCCCTGCAGCCCCCAGAGCTGGCGGGCCCCACTGGCACCCTTTCCATCTGGTCCTCAGGGCTGGTAGTGGCCATGCGTCCGGAGGGTGCCATCCTGGCCTCCCTGAGCAGCAGCTCCGGGTCCTTGAAGGCAGAGATGAGAGCCCGGCATGGCATTTCCCACCCATCCCATTGGCCAAGGCCAGAGCCCGGGACAACAGTCAAGCTGCTGTGCCTGGCCAGGCCTGGGCCACCTCTGTGTATCCTTCCTGGTCAGTGGAGGGCAGGGCCCCTGGGGACGCATATCATGCAGACCCAGCCCAGCAGGTGGCTCTAGGGGTCATGGGTGCTGACAACCTGGGCAGGGCTGGTCTCTAAGCCCAGGAGAGGAGGATCACAGGGCAGTGGGGACCTCTTGCCCCAACCGGGCTCCCACACCAGCCGTGGGGTATACAGTACCTGACCGGATCTCTATTGCTTATTTAGGACTTTTCCTTCAGGTTTCCTTGCTGAGAGGCAAAAAAGAGTCTTTTATGACAACCTATGCCTGCACACTCTATCATTTGGGTTTTGTTATGAAATGGCCTTTCAGGTTTTAGAGATAACACACAGGGGCTTGGGTTTTGGCCAGAGTCCCTTCATCAGATAAATCAAAGATATGAGCAGTACCATAAAATAAAATACCAGAGCCATCGCCTCTCAAATAACTTTAGTAGGAATGCTGGTCTGCCACAAGATGGAAATAAATACGTTACGTTTTTATATGAAAGGAACACCAATTTACTCTAAAATGTATACATAATACATAAAAATATAATTCTACTCTCACAAATGCTGCTGTTTATATTGCTAGCTGTAAAAGCATTCAACATTTAATTAACAATAGCTTGGAGGCTACGTGGATGTTGCTTTTGGGCAGCCCAGCGTTGTGCATCAACCTGGGCTCCAGCTGCACTGGGGTCACTGGGCTGTGTGAGCCTCGGCCCCGAGCTCTTCTCTGCTCTGACTCGTCACCCTGACTGCTGAGGGCCCAGTCACGTTGCGGTGGCCGGCAAACTACACCGGCTCTGGCTCACACGCAAGCACCATAAATAACGAATGTGCCCGTTCTCTTCCTGATGCTCTTTGATACCAAGATAATTCCAATTTTTCTAATTAGGGAGGGCTTTGCTATTAAAGCTGGTCATAGGAGCCTTGTCATTGTGGCACTCTGTCTGTGGGCATCAATAAATAATGAGCAGAGTGCAGCTGCGGTCCGCGGCCAGCGCAGCGCCTGGGCAGGGGAGGGATCCAGGGCCAGGCTATGCCACTCTTCCTCTCCTGGCAGCCATGGACTGGGTCTCTGCCCTTCCTTGCCTGACAAGGCCACCTTGAGTGCACAGTGCCCCAGCAGAGCCAGGCTGTGCAGGGGACTCAAACCCAGTCCTGACCATGGAGCCAGAGTACTAGGCAGGACCTGCACAGCAGCTGTGCCAGGCTGGAGGGTCTCAGGCAGTGACCTCAAAGAGGGGTGAACCCTGAAACTTGTACCATCTGCAAATAGAGATGGATTTCATTGATCTGGGGAAGAAAAGGGGAGGGAAGGGCAACTGATGACATTTAGTGCCCTATGCAAAGATTCATTCCAGTGCGTGTGCGTGTACAGATCTGTGTGTCTGTATACATATGCATGAGCATGTGACTCTGTGTGTGTGTGTGTGTGTGTGTGAGTGTGGGTCTGTGTGGCTGTGTGCTCACTCCTCTGTGTTTACACACTTCAGTATAATTTCTTCACCCCAATGCTTGCATTCACTCCCACCTTGTCAGCCAGCTTTCCAGTTGCTGGGTACAACCCCCAACACTCATGCCATCAAGGAGGAGGAGAGGTGTGTTTGGCTCATGGCTTCAGGAGATGCAGTCCCTGGTTGGCTGCTCCAAGGCAGGAGCATCATGGCAGAAGGGCCTGGGGAGCAAAGCTGCTCAGTTCATGGGAGCTGGAAGCCAGCAGGGAAGGGGCCAGAGATAGAGTGTAGGACCCAAGGTCACACCTGAACAACACATTAGGTGCTCTCTTAACCTACCAAGCATTTTTTTGTTGTTGTTGTTTTTTTGAGACAGGGTCTCACTATGTACTTGAGACTGACCTGGAACTCACTATGTAGCCCAGGCTGGTCTCAAACTCACAGCGATCCTCCTACCTCAGCCTCCCGAGTGCTGGGATTACAGGCGTGCACCACCACACCCTGCCCAAGCATTCTTAATCCAGGGAAGCTGCCAGATCAGGGGCTATGCAGACCCCGGCTTTTGCACACACTTGTGAAAGCCCCCCACCACCTGAGTCTCTCCTGTGCTTCCTTTTCTGCAGGAGTTCGTTCACCTGGCCAAGAGACTGGTGCGAGATCCCATGCTGGAGAAAGAGCTCGTGGCCAACGGAAGGGACTACATGAACAGGTGGCACTCCTGGGAGGTGGAGAGAGACACCTACCAGCACCTGGTCAGGAAGCTGGAGCGGGGTGCGGAGGAGTAAGGGTCACCCAGGACAGTCCCTGGGGACATGGCATCCACCTACACCTCCTGTGCACACACCTGCCCCCCGGAGGCATCTGTACCCGGGTGCGGAGGGCTGGTGGGCAGGAGCCACCTCTCTTCCAAGCACCTGGGCTGCTGCAGCACTGGCTGGTGACCCCGAGACTGGATCCTGAGTACCCATGGCACAGACCCCTGTCTGTGGCCAGTACTGGCCAGTCCCACTCCATCAGCAGAGCCAGACTCGGGAAAGCTATGGGTGGGGCTGAGCTGCCCACCTCTGTCCTCCGTGGTACAGCCAGGACATAGCACCACGTCTGGGACTAGGAGGAGGTTCTGGGGACAGCCATGTGGTGACTGCGTCTCTGGGTCCAGAGTGGGCCATCCTTCCCCTCCCAGTCTTGGGGATAAGGACAAGTGCCCCACCAGTCACAGACCTCTCCCCACAGAGGGCCTGAATGGGCCCAGTGGTCCCTGCCCTGACACTGTGCACAGCAGCACACCCTTCTGCAAGCAGACTGCATTGTCACTGAGCTCTCCGGGGCACAAGCACCATGAGTGGCAAGGGCAGTGTCCTGCTGCCTCCTGTGGTTCAGGGATGGCAAGGAAAGGGCCCAGGCATGGATCTCATTCAGGCTCCAGGAGCTAGAAGTGGGGAGGCCCAGGCATTTCCTGCACAGCCCAACTTCCTGGTGTCCACCGTCCTGTTCTGAGCAGACCATGTCTCGCTTTGAGGAGGCTCAGCCTCCAGTCAGCCCTGCTCTGGATGCCTCAGGGTATCAGTGCCCTTGGTTCTGCAACACAGAATCAGCAGGGTTGGGCACAGTTGCGCTCCAGGAAGGGGCACAGGGCCTGGTTCTTCCTCTTGCCCTGGCAGCATGGTGCCCTTCCTTTTTCTTGGTTTCCAGGGCTGGGCACAGGAGGGAGGGATGGGGCCTCATCCCTGGAAGGCAGCTTCTGAGTCTGGAATCCCCAAGGCCACCCAAGAAGGCCCACTTCCCCCCGGGGACAGGACAGACTCCCAGCTGAGCCCCGGAACCCATACCCACCCAGGTCAGCCGGGCAGCATGGGCTGGCAGTGAATAAAGCGTCCCCCTGCACCTCAGGCCCAGAAATTGCCCTGTTCTTTCCTGCTGAGCCTGAGTCAAGCTCAGCTGCCCGCCCAGCCCTGCACCGTGCAGGAAGCAGAAGCTGGTACCCCATGGGCTGCAGGGCCACTGTGGGCTACAGCACAGCCTGTGCCCAGCCAGCCTCGCCATTGTGAATCCTGGCGGCCGCTGCAAGGGGAGGGGTTCCCTGGATTGTGGCTCACAGTTGCAGAGGTTCTGGGCCAGGGTCCAAAATGGGCCCCCAAAAAGGGGGCGCCTTGGGTCCACAAGCCCTCTCTAGGGGATGTCTCCCTAGCCCTGCCTCAGGCTCTGCTTCTTAAGGCTCCGTCCCCAGCAGCACTACCTGGGATCAAGGCCATATACCCTGACCTTTGGGTGACACTCAGGGTCCCAAATGAGCTGGGCCTGGTGTTGCAAGCCTGTGATCCTACCAGTCTGGGAGGTTGAGGCAGGCGGATCTCAAGTTTGAGCCCAGCCTATGCAAAAATTTAGTGACTTAATGAGATCCTATCTCAAAAATGCAAACAAAATGAGTAAAATATAAGACTGAAGAAAAGGGCCTGGAAACTAAGTGTGAAAGCCCTGTGTTCTGTAAGCCTATCTTGCTAAGACCCTTATATAGTTGTAAATATATTTTATATTAACTCTGCACCTCTAGTGAACCCTAACTGATATACCTGGTAAGTACAATTTATAATTATCGAAGAGAAATGTACTCTTTTTTGAGACAGAGCCTCACTATGTAGCCCAGGCTGGCCTTGAACTCTTGGATTCTCCTACTTCAGCCTCCTTAGCACTAGGATCACAGGTCTCTACCACCATGCTCAGATAATCAAAGAAAATTTAAATAGAAATTAACAGTGCATTTGAACAATTATCAATCAGTTTGCTAGTTAATAGCAAAATGAAGATAACTGAATTTGGAAAAAAAAGATACAAACTAGCATGAAGGTGGACAGGGCCCTTCCGGGTGTTCTAGATGGTTTCTGCTGTCACACAGCAGAGGCCGACTGGGGTGTGGTCCCAGGGAGCCTGCGAGCATTCCCTGCTGACAGCTTCAGACTCCCACCCGGATCTGGACAAAGATCACCACAAACAAAGCGAGCCCTTGTACTGGAAACTGAATTCACAATCGAGGAAATAGGTTCAATCTGTGTGACCGTATTACACAGGGTTAGTTGCAATTATGAGCTTAGGGCCAAGAAATCTTTTGCTTGTGTGTGCGCACATGCACGCATGCATGGTGCCAGGACCTGGTCTGCAGCACCTGCTGTGAAGTGTGCCTGTCTCCCCGCACCTGACCTCCTCCAGCTCGGCTGTTCCCTTTCCACCTACGCACCCCACACTGCCCTTCATCATTCACTTGTCAACTCCATCAAATCCTGTCTCTTTCGCCATGTCTTCCATCTTAATTTCCAGTGCACTGGCACAATGTCAGTGTTTTAAGCACTGTAAATGTTTCTCAGTCATAAGGGATCAACTTGACACCAAATGCAGAGGGAGGCTCCACGTCTGCCTTGGTTAAGATGGATAAAAAATCCAGAATAAATTAGTTTATGCAAGAGAGGTGTGCTTGCAGGTCCTCAAGTAGAGAGATCCACTGCCTCAGTCAGTTCCGCATCACTGGCTCACAATACCTAACACCATGACTTAAGGGAGGAGAGCTTTGTGTGGGCTCGTGGATTTTGGAGGATTCAGACCATTGTTGGCTGGCTCCAAGGCAGAAATAGCATGGCAGAGGGGCTCAGCGGAGCAGAGCTGCTCAGGTTATGGTGGACAGGAAGCAGAGAGAGAAGGGAGGAGCCCTTCTGGGCCACGTCCACAGGGACCCCCTCTTCAGACCAGGCCCCACCTCCCAACAGCTGTGGGTTCATTAGTGGATGAGCACAACACCCCTATGTTCCAATCACCTTGCAAAAGCTCCACCTCTGACAGGGCTTTGGGTGGGCATCTAGATCTAAAGCATAGTCGTCTAAGCCAGTGTCATTTTCCACTGGCTCTAAGACTGCCATCCTGTTTGTTCTCCTCCTCTTCCTCAGTAGGTGGCCACTAACATGTGGCTCCAACCCAAGGTCCACCGTGAAGCGCCATCCAAGACACAGGATGTGAGGCTAGAGCAGAGAGCCCTCTTCCTCCTTGCAGGATAATTCTCACTCACACTCACCTCCCATGGCCACACCTAGCTGCAAGGGAAGCTTGCAAATACAGGTTTTGATCCAAGCAGCCATGGGCCCAGTAGAATATCAGGATCCATAACAGAGAAAGGAGGGAGGATGCATGTTCAGTGTTGGCTCATGATGACACAGCCCTTGAGACACACTAGTTTTAGATTCTGGCCATGGTTACTGGCATCCTGCTTGGTATTCACTGAATATCTTTTGATGCCAGGAATGGTGATGAACACAAAGAAAGGACTCTGGGGTGGGGGTGGGCAGCCATGAAAAGAAAAGACATCATTTGTAATCTGGGTTGCAGTGATTATTTTATAATCTTTTTAAAGACCTGAGTAGTCCTTGAAAATCCAGGCAGAGGCAAACATCTTTGCAAAAACAAAAACAAAAACCAAAAAAACAACTATCCAACTCTGCTTCATTACAAAAGTTTTGTCCCTGACAAAGAAAAGCCATCAGCACTATCTCAGACCCTGAAGGAGTGGCTGGGAAGCCCCTGAGCCTACAGAAGCCTCAACCCTCAGATAAACCTCACTCTGTCACCACAGTGAATCGCCCTACCTCCCATGTTTGCAGAAATTGCCCAGTTTCAGGGCTATCTGGAGAAAGCTTGCAGAGTCTCTGGCTCTGGGGGACTCTGGGTCCACACGAGGACCCTATCACATGGACAGCTGCTGTGCACTAGCTGACTTACAAACAGCCCTATCCCACTCACTCACCAGCCAATGGGGTCACTGCTTCAGTTCTGTCCTGGCAGCCATGGTGGACAGATGCCCCACTGCATGCTAGGTTCTGCTAGGCACGCCAAGGTGGAATTTCCCCGCCTGCACCCTGGCACAAGGGAAGCCTCCCAAATGTCATTCCCTGTGCAACACGGTTCAGCTGGAAACCCCTCCTGGTGCCACTCAGCTGAGAGGGCCCTTGGCTGTGTTTACCTGGGGCCTGGCCAGGGGTGCCCCCACATTCCTATCCTCAGAGGGGTGAGATGGGCTGCTGTTCTGTCACTTTGGATCATCACACATCTGCCACCTCCACACACAGACCTCTCCCACTCTCTGCCACTTCCCACAGCAGGGCCTGCGTGTCATCCCAGCTACTTGGGAGACTGAGGCAGGAGGATCTCAAGTTCAAGGCCAGCCTGGGCAACTTAGATTCTATCTAAAAATAAAATAAAATGGCTGGAGTGTAGCTCGTGGTACAACACTTGCCTGGCATGTGCAAGGCCCAGGTTCAATCTCCAGTGCTGGAAAAAAATATATAATGTGCTTAAATATATAAATGTATCTCTCTCTCTCTCTCTCTCTCTCTCTCTCTCTCTATCTATCTATCTATCTATATATATATATATATTCTCAAAAGCTTTAAAATATAGTTAACCTTTGATGTGGCAATTTTGTATACATGCAACAATTCCCCACAAGGGGTATAAATATTATGTACTACAGACATGTGCTAATAAGAACAGATCCAAAAGGGAGCCTATTTTAAGGATGTACTGAGGGATGACTAGAAAGACTTATTGTGACAACAAAGCCACCACATTAGTTATAATGGCCAGAGACTCCAAATATCCAGAAACAACCAAGGCGCACGCTAGGAAACTGCACAGTTGCACAGCAGCCCACGTGCAGCCTGGGCCGTGGAC